GTGAAAAGATTAAAAAATAAATATTATGAATATAAGTAAATTTTGGTTTGTTTTATTAATATATTTACAATAACTTATTTGGTGGTATGAGACTATTATACAACTTTATGATCAGATTTTCATAGTATATATTTGTAAAAAAAAAAAAAAAAAAAAAAATATATATATATATATATATAAAATATATACATTTTTAAAAAAAATAAATAAAAATTGCCAAAAGTAGTAGTTATATATATAAAAATCTCAAAAAAAAAAAAAAAAAAAAAAAAAAAGTTATTGTAAAGTTAGTCAATGTAAAGACATCATTGGAAACTTTGAAAGAGGAGAATCAAAAAAGAAATTAAAAACATCAGCAAAACGATCAAAATGTCTTTAAAATGTCACAAAAAGATTTAAGAAAAAGAAAAGAGTAATAGAAAAGAAAAGTAACTTGGCCAGCAAGAAAATATTTTAAGAAACTGGCATTGCAAATGCAAACAGAGAAAAAATGTAAAATATTAACATTGGCAAAAGACATGGAAACAACCAAACTAAGACCTTTATAAAGGTAAACGTGTAAGTTGGACAAAGAAGTACATAAACTGATTTCTCAACTTATAGTGATAGATATAGAGTTACATTGGATAGGCCAGATGTCTGGATAAGAGGAAATAGTCAAACACAAGTTAGACGATAACAAGAAGTGAAGTAATGTTTTAGGCTAATATTATTGAAAAGAAAATTATAGGTCCCTTCAAAATTGAATGTCAAAGTGAATATATTAACATGTAAATTAATGCAATAAATTATTCAAATATATGCTATTAAATTTAGAGTTCTCCTATGCAAACTTAATTATTAATCAAATTGTGTTTTTTAGTGTATATCTTGAATTTAGAAATAAAATTTTATGCAATAATTTGCATAATAAATTCTGATATCTTGTTATATCTATACTTAGTAAAAATATTATGAGCTGTAATATAAGCATATCTTGGTAATTTTACCTACATCAGTTGGTTAATTTTATTGCAAAAATTAAATCTGACAGTATAAAACAACTGAATGAAAAATACATGGCTGATTTTCTTCATAGTTCAATCTACCTTTATTTTTTTGAAATAGCATTTCAATCCAGTGCATGTAGGTTTTTTTTTTTAATTAGATGTCCATCTTCAGTAAACTTCAAAATGAATGTATTTTATGTATATTTCAAACAAATTGAACTGAATGCTTCTCTGATAAGGACATAAATATGTACGAATAGACCTTGTAATTGTTTGCTTTCTCAGTATAATGCAGAATTAACAAATGAACAATCTCTTTTGAATTCACACACCAAGTATAACAGATAAAAACAACAAGTAGGTGAAGGATTAACAATGATTTTCCTCTGCTAGGCCACTATTAAAACACTTGATATTGCAGAATTTTAATAACAGGAGGCTAATATGCTTGGCTTGTTATTTGGAATTTAGGTTAGAGGAATAAAAACTAAGATCATTCAAAAATAAGGAAAGTTATCATTGACCATGTTTAGTAATTGCAGCTGGAAGAGAGCATAATTATAACTACAAAGGATTAGAACTTGCAGGTTTAGTTCGGTGGCAGAGCACTGGATGTTTCCTTGAAATCTTTGAAATAACCAATATTATTATTTCAATCAAGAAGAACAGACTCAAAATTAAGGCAGAGTGTATTCTATAACAGTTACCTTTTTTCTTTTTTCAAATAAAGCATTTTCACCATTTATTAATAATTCTACTCCACTGCTGTTTTTTATCACTACAGCTAGTCAAACTCTTCAAATAGGAGAACAAACAGATTAAAAAATTGGAAATAAGCAACAAGATGAAGTAAAACCAGTCATAAAATAATAGAAAAAAACATTGAAATAATTTCAAAAGTTAATTACAAGATAGTAAAATAAATATGATAAATAAAACTGGAAAGCAGAATAACTAGATAGCCACTTTGCATAATCATTTTGTGATAAAATTGGTTAAAGCCAGATCCATGGGCTTCCAAGTTGTAGGAATCAAATTCAATTCTCATCACTTTATTATTCCTGATTTGGCACTATTTGCTCTAGTAATCCAGGAATGTATTTGCATAGATTTCTTTGAAATAAAAACGAGACGAAGTAAGAACTAGCAATTAAATGAGTTTAGTACTTGATATCAAAAGTAGCAGAAAGTAACAAAGTGATTCAGAGTGATTAAACATTACTAAATTTTGAATTTCACTACTTGCAATTTTCCTGGGCTACTTTTAAAATAAGCCTGACTAATTTGGGTTACTAATGAGAAAGTTTAGTGGCACTGGACATTCAAATGCAGTACAATTCATCACGTCACCCAATCTTGCAACCCAGCAGTGATTTGCCAATTTTCATGATGAAAAGGATATTTTCACTTTCAGATCATTGTTCTTTACGAATTTCCTGTCACAGTTTAACAGGTTCTGTGCCTAGAATTCACCTATTACTCTCATGATGAAAAAGCAAGTACCAGTTATAGAAGTGAAATTATTGAAATAGATGAAGTTTTAGAAATTACAAAGTTATTTTACTAGTGCAAAGACATCCAGACATTGAAAATTATAGAAAAAATAATGAAGATTTTGCAGGACTATTTCAATGTCTGAACAATAAAATTTTTTTCTCAAGTCATCCACAATGCTAAATATGATAGACAGGTATCGTAATTATACAACAATATTCAAAAGAAAAGATAGAATAATATTCAAAAGAAAAATAAAATCATTTCGTTATATATGGAATTAACTTTGAGAAAGTCAATAGAAAGTGTTACTGATAAAAAAATAAAAACAACAACAAAAAAACAAAAAACAAAAAAAAAAAACAGAAAATGTTGTCACTTCTTTAAAAACAGTAGAAAAAGCAGTAGCAGACTATTAATAGCTACAGTCTTAAAATTCAAACCATTTACCATGATTATCACTTAAAAAGAAAAAAAATATTTAGTAAATTCAAGGTAAGCCTAACAAGCTTTAAGAAAACAGTCTAATGAGAATGAAAACAAAATGGCAAAACTAAAAAATTAAGAAACAATAAAATAATGTGTTATGCATGCGGTAAACAAAGAAAAAAAAATTTACAAATTGGCAAAGCAATGAGAATCAATTTGTAAAAGAAATATTAAGCAATCTTCTAAAATGGATCATTCCTTTCTATTTTCACTTGGAATGGATACCATAGATAACATAAATGGTATGTTAGTTGATTACAGGGAAACAACAGGTTATGATGGACATGTTAAATTTTACAATTTAAATCTGAAAATAACTTCAAGTTGACAGAAGGACAAATGAATAGATACAGAGATAAATCATAAAAAATTAATTTTCTATTATTTAAAGAGGATATCATTTTTGTATAAGCAGTTATCAACAAGATTGCTTCGTTTGAATTTGTGTAAAGCTTTTATATCCTGACAGTAAAAAATATTAATATTAAGAAAAGAATGTCTGTATTTTCTCAACAATACATTTTAAAGAATGCAATTTAAAAGAATGACACAAAAATTTGAGGTCATTGTAAAAGGAAAAAAGTCTTTAAAAGCTTGAAGATGTGGAAAGCATGGACATTAGAACTTTGAGTGTGAAGTTGTACAGAAGAAAAAATGACAAAGTAACAGAAATGATATGGGATATTTGGTCATAACTGCTGTGTATTTTTGAAACAGGTGTTAGAATCCCACAAGTGGGAAAAACAACAGCATTTAAACTGTCCACCAGCACTAAGCCAAGTATTAGTGGCATGCATATTGTTGGTACAGTCACTTGTGCCTTGTGCAGAATAAAACTCATTTCATTCCAGAAGCAAGAAGCTATTTTTGTGGGCTATAAACAAAGATAGTCCATTATACTTTCTATATTTTCCAGAAATAAAAAGAATTATCAAAGTGTGATATTCACCAATATCTTCAAAACTGTGAATGATGGCAATGAACCCAATTGGATAAGACTTAAGTGGATTCAGACTGATCCTTATGAGGGGGAAAAAAAAAAGATTATTGATCAAGGTACCAGATATGATTGTAGTGAAAATAATCCTAATAAGGAAAGTATTTCTTATTGATAACCAAGTAGGAATCATAAGAAGTTTAACTATCTAAGATTATGTTGTTGAAAAGAACATTGATAATACTGTAAAATTGTTAATGCGCCCAAAATATATTGGGAATCTTTTACATCCATCGATTCAAATGATTGGCAAGAAGTCATGCAAGATGAAATGAATGCTTTAAAGAAAAAAAAAAAAGAATAACTAAGAACTTCTCCTCTTATTAGAAGATAGAACAACAATGGTGCATAACTTAATCTGTGCTTAATGACTATTTTGAAAATTGTTCATATACAACTGTAAGAATCAATACCTTTGTCTCAAAGTTTAACATCCTTGCAACAATTACAACTAAACTGAATTTTATTACAAATAAATTTGTAGCTCCCCCAATAACTCCACATAAAATATTTAACCAGAAATACTTGAAGTATAAATCTTGAAGAATCTACCTCAGTATTGAATTACTGAGTGTTAAGTATACTCATTGTAAGTAATGTGTTAGAATGTAAACCTATTTGTGATTACCTATTTCCAATGATGATTGTGTGTGCACGTGCATATATATATATATATATATATATATATATATAAACAGGTCAGGCATATTTATTCACAGCAATTTGCTCTAATGCTCCCAACATGAATACTAATACTTAATAGCATTTTTGATCCTACTTGCATACTAGTTGTACATACTATCAATATTTTGTTTATTATTTCACTGTTATATCACAGTCTAATATTTCCAGATTAAGCCATTTTACAGTCATAGTTTGGGATTGCCTTCTACCATGTTTTGAATTCAGGAACTCGCTTATAAACATGATAGTTAACCTAGTTACCAAATACTAAACATTGTTATTTACACCTTAGAGAAAAATGTACCAACACAAATGCCAAGAGTTGCACAAAAATACATAGAATAAATTTAATAAAACAGAAACAATTCAGATAGATAAGACAAAGCTCTCTTTTGATGAGCACTCACCTTCTTTATTTTGCCAATTGCTCCTTGGGGCATTTCTTTTCTGTAATATTTCTTCAGCCTACGTATTTCAGGTTTAGTCATACCCACATTCATGAGGTCCTCATCTTTGACATATTTGAGATGAGCCAAGACAGAAATTTTCAGTTCATTCTTTAGGGCACTATAATAATGTTCAAGTTCTGCCTCAACAAGGAAATTATGAAGTTCCTTGTTCATGGCTGCCATGGTAAATGGGCTTTCTGCTGCTAAGCACCAGTGAAGCTCTGTAGATTGCTTTATTACAAACTCATGAGGAATCTGGAAAAGATGGAAAGTAAAACAATCAAACTCAAAGTTCACAGGATTTCTCATGAAAAACATTAGATATGCACATAAAATTTGCCAATTTGTAATTTATACAAGTAAAAAAAAAAAAAAACAACAAAAAGAACAAAGAGATTTTTATTAATGTTTTTTTTTTTTATTTAGAAAAAGCAATAGTAAATAGGGCTGTACCACAAGAAACCATATTTATATACTTATATGCAACAGAATTATAAATTAGGCAGTTTAAATTATAATGAAATTTATAATATTATATATATATATATATATATATAAACAACTTGTTTCTTCTCTGCCTTTGATTGGTATTCAAAGTAAAATCAAGTAAAATCATTTCAAATTTTGAAATCCATTAAGAACCTGAATGTTAAAACTGAATCCAACTATTTTCAGAAAACTTCATTATATTTAATGAGTCTATGAATTAAAAACTTGTCTAAGCCCATATAGATTTAAATAAAATGAGCAAGTTTAGTTTACAAGTTTAATTATGTATCAGGAATATAAAGTCAGATTGAAGGAAATCTATATCAGTTGGCTAAATGTACCAAGTTATAGCTTTTTATAATTATGAGAAGAGATATTATCCCAAAAGTTAAACTACAGATCTCATTGTTTTTGTTGCTTTTAATGTGGTGCTTTAATAACTGATTGACAGTGGCAAATGAATTTTGATATTTTAAACTGTTTATAAAGACTTATTCTATTTCAAAGAAATTTTTTTTTTCAATATAAAAATTTAATTTCAAAACAATAAAAAAAATCATAAAAAAAGAATATTTATTCAATCAAAATATCCCCCCTTAAAAGTTATTTATTCAAGAGTAGCAATGCATTTATTGAAGGTTTATTCAATATGATTAGAGAAGTTCTTGCCTTGAAGTATTTGAACAAATTGGTAATCCATACAACAGAAGAGATAGGTGAATAGGCACTTCAATCAAATCTCCATCTGATTCAACTTTAGTAATTTAATTCTTGAATTATTACAAAGTAAAATAATACCAAAGTAGATGCTTGAATTTTGAATTGATTTTTACTACAGATATGAACTGGTTGGCAATTTTGAAGGAAGTTGGGAAAATCCACTCCTGCTCCATTATATGTCATAATCTGTTGATAGTTTTTATTTGATATTTAAAATAAAATTTCATTCAGCCATTGAGCATTTTTTTTGTCATATAAAATTTATTATTCATTGTCTGTTTTTCATTACAAGTAATAACAATCCTAAAGCAGATTAACTTATTGTTGAACCTGATTAATGCAGGCCTCTATAGTGGATTCTTGTGTTCCCAATTTAGTTCAAAGAGAACCCAATTTGTTTTCTTACCAACCACTTAAAAGATTTAAAATGGTTCAAACTGATACAGTGAAATTAACTATAAAATCTTGGAATGAGAGGGTGATGTTATTTTAAACTACAACCATCATTAATGGGTTATTGCAGATTACTTTCCTAATCTCCTCTTGCAAATTTCTGAAACAAACATACTATTTGTTTACTAATAATTTATATTCTCAGTTTTAGCTCCATTATGGCAAAGTTTGAATCTGTACAAGTGTAACATGTAAAAATTTGTTGAAAGCAGAATAATTAACAGAAAAAAATGAAAATATTAAAAAAAATTTAAAAAGCTAGTTTTGTTTTGTTTTAAATTAATGTTAAACATCTTAATATTGTTAGAATTGACATTTCAATAGACATCTAAATTTACATAAGAAAATATAACAAAATTATAAAAAAAATGATTTATATTGTTCTACTTATGAGAGTATTTAACAAATAATGCACCTTAAATCATCATATAATAATTTTTACTTTTAGAACAAAGAAATTAAATCACTTTTCAAAGTTTTTTTTAATGAAATCATTTTTGGCACCAACTATAAATTTTACACATTACAAAAAGATCTTCAGTTCTACAATATTAATTTCATTTACAGAATCTTTCACGATTTTATAAATCTTTTCAAGAATTTAGAAAACAAAGATCACAAATGAACAGTTTTCTGTATTTTTCAATATGATATTCCAAACTGAAATTTTATTTTGAATATATCTAAAAACATTTAATACAGGCATAATGATCTTGACAAACCATAAAAAAAAATGTACCAAATTTATCTTGGTTGTTCAATTTGCAACAAAGTCATGATCATTCAAAGTTCATAAAATGACAATTTTTGTCTCATATGCTATCAGACAAAAAGCCAATTTTAACAGTGTATATAACTAAAGATGCTAGCTTCAAACAAGATAAAAATCATTATAAATGTAATGTCATATAGGTAGTCTTTAAGTAAAAAAGATAATGTTAATGGAATCATTAATTCTTAGATCAGACCAACCAAAACATTGGGAAAATTGTGTTCTCAAAAACAAGAAATTTAATATAACACAGATGGTCAAATTTGATTGCTCATAGAAGTTTCATTTCAACAGTTAGAGATGAAGCTAACTTTTTTCAGTAGTACCTCAATAAAAAAAAAAAAAAAAAAAAAAAGGGAAGAAAAAAAAGAAAAAAGTAAAAATTAAAACTATATTTACACCATGTAAAAACAGCAAGAAACAATTTAGCAGTAAGGCAAAAACAGGTCAAAAGTATAGCATACTGAACTTGACCTAAGAATTTTTTTTATCATGCTTTTGTAGATATATGGTGGAAACTTTGAAACTTAAATAATTTTAGGATGTGGAATTCAACAAAATAGCTCTTTTCACTGTAATATCAATACTTTTTGCAATATATGTACCTTATTTTGGAAAATTTTATGAAATTATATAATTTTCAACTCTGGTCAAAAACTGGGAGAGCACTAAGGACTAGAAAACTTTTGAAATTTGCTTTACAGAAGGAAAACAATTTATATTAGTTTTAAACTGATAGAAAAGACTTTCTGGGCATTGTGAATGGTCCTCTTGCATTTCCTCTCCAAATATGACTTGCTGACTGAATTTCTATATAAGCCTCTGATATAGCTAATATTTCTAGAAGACTATATCCAGCTATCACTTGAAATTGGCATTGTATCAAAGTCCCATCTGAAGAAAATTGTTGATTCCATTTGTGCAACATTATCAGGCAAATGCCCTCAGAAATAATAATTTCTGCCCTTTGTTGGAGTTTTAAAAAAAAAAAAAAAAAAAAAAAAAAAATGGAGATGCAATATCAATGACTTGGCCAATGTAAAAGATGATGTCCTAACATGCTGCCTTAGTGTTCATAAATGAAGGACACTCGAGGTGGTGGTTCTTCATCACAAGTACTAGAGTTGTTTAAATACTCAGAATCGCTGAGCGCCTTTTCTTCTTTCCTTTACCTTAGAGATGGAGATGAGTCAACCGATTTTCCTGTCATCAAGTAGTCGTCGCAAAGAACAGCTTCCAGCTGAGATTTTCTACCATTGGTGTTGATCTTGATACTTAAGAGAATCTTCAGGTATCCAAATTGATCTTTCAGTGCTTGCAAACCACTGCATATTGTACATCTTTAATAGACTTTACAGGACAAGCATCCTTGAGGACAGAGTTAATAATTCTTCATTTCTCAGTAGCAGTAGCAGCTTGACATTCTTTTTCCTTTTTGCCTCTCATTTTTAGTAATCTTTTCTTGTACATGAAGTTTCAGAAGTACTTCTTGTTGCTTGTGTCTTTGTCACAGATGTGTTTTGCATACTTTCTTGAAATGCTAAGAATTGATTACCACTCACTTGCTGGGTTCACTTCCAGCCAAGCTCTAGTTATGCTTGAGCATGTTTCAGGTTGATCAAAGCTGAAGAACTTGTCATTTTTTTTTTTTTGTCAATTACACCCCAACTTTCAGATATTGTTAACACATTTAAATTGAAGGTGTTTGAGGGTTTTTTTTTTTTTTTTTTTTTACACACTTACATAAAAAAGAAAAATTGCTGAAGATGTTACTTGAATATATATATATATATATATATATATATATATATATATATATATATATATATATTAGTCAAATTCAACCATGAACATACTGAAAGTTCGTCATGAACCTTAACAAAAAATGAAACATTTTCATTCAGAGTTGATACTTGCATAATTTAAAATATTCTTTCACATTTGACAGAAAAAAAATCTACATTGAATATCTATTTTTTAAAAAATGTACCATTTATACTTGCATACCATGCAACTTTTGAAGACCTAATTTTTAAACTAATTTTAAGGGGATCACATCATACACAAGATATAAAATTAGTGTATGTACTACTGGCCCTGGCTATGCCGTTGACCAAACTATATATTCATTTACTGTAGTCAAATTAGCTTCAAAATTAGGTCATCAAAGGTTGCATGATACACAAGTACTTGTAATTTTTCATTGCAATTCTGAAATTTCTCCAATAAGAGATTTTCTTTTATTAAATGAAGATATGTTTTTAGAATTGAAAAATATAAAGTTTAATACCATTTTCAAGCGTTAACATTAGAAGGCTACTGTGGTTATCACAGCTCACCATGTGTAAAATGTTATTTTCACTGTTTTCAGAAATAAATAAATTATTTACAAAATCCAATCACTTATTCCTTAATTTTACAAATTTATTTTGAAGCAAAAGACAAAAAATATTTAAGATTTCTAAATTTGTTATTTTCATTTGTCATCAAGAATGGAGATCCAGTGAGTTATTGGGGCAAGGTTTTTAAAAAGGTCTAAAAAATTAAGAAACCTTATTTAAATACATAAAATTTAGGTGCCACCAAAATGGGTGCTTTTTTCAAAATGAAAGCAAAAAAAGTCAATACACCCATTTTAAAATATTTACCAAACAACAAGGAATTATTCAATTCAAACAAAATTTTTAGTACTTATTACTTAATGAATTAATTTGCTACTGAATAGATGTTTTTATTTAAAAAAAAAAAAAAAAAAAAAAAACACATTGGTGAAATATTGGGTGTGGGTTAATGTTTCAAACACCACCACCACTATCTCCTG